TTTCTCTGAACAACTTCTTGTTTCTAATATACCTGTAGAATCCCTTCTTGTTACCCTTTCTCAGAATCCCTGGAATCAGTGGTTAATTTGAGCAACAGGAGTCCAAATATCATTCTGCATCCTCTCCTTACACCCACATAGTGTTTTAGTCCACACCCATGCTTGAATGTCATCAAGTCCAGTGGCAGAGAAGTAATTGGTGAACAGCCAGAGATTCCCAGACCATGGCAAGAAGAAAGGTACCAGCAACTAATGTAGATGGTCCAGGACCCAATGTGTGGGTAAAACAAGCATTTGCTCTTCATTCTCCCCATCTTTGCAACTGTCAATCCCTCCCGAGTTTCCTTCCCTGGACAAATTCTTGATCATGCCCACTGCTAAGTGCAGAAACCCTCCAGACTTTCTGCTAATGATAAGCACCCAGATGTGACCCCCAAACCCTGATTCCAAAACTCTTTTCCTTGCCCAGTGATGAACAGCCCTGCAGATCTCCTCCCACCCAACACCTTCAGAGATCCCAACCCAGAAAGAGGAGCCTGGTGCATCAGGAGGTCATGGGCTTTGTAACACTGCAGCAGTTACAGAACTGCGTATGGCCTGGCAATGAGAAGAAGTATATGTGGCTTCAAGGAGGAACAGAAAAGAGGAAGTGACTGCTGACAGTTTGCCAGCAATCTATCTAGAGAGAAAACAGCTGCTTCTCCAGAGAGCAGCAATGCTAGCTCTCTCCAAGGCATCTACAGCCCTGAGAACAGGAAAAAGGCAAGGGAACTGATGGGGTTTTGTTTGGGGCGCGACTTGCCTTGCAACCCTGGCTGCCTCACAATGTTTTGCTGCTGTAGCTCCCAACCTGGGATTCCCCCAACCGACCTACAAGCATGCAGGTCACACCTTGAAGTGTCTGTGTACTAGACAGCCCTGGTTCAGCAGCTCTGACCCCCGCAGCCTGTCTATACCCCCACTCTGGCTTCCATCAGCCTCAGTTACTACTTACAGGGTGACCCCAACACACCTCCCGTGCTGAACTTTCTCAAAACTGTGTGCTTCCTGGACAGCTCAGAGTAATAATAAGGTCTGTTTGTCCCTCTAAAGACACAAAAGCACATCACCATTTATTAACTTAACTGGGGTAAATACACCCTCAATTTAAACACTGCACTGATTTGGTTTATAGTAAAAATAAAACAAGTTTATTAACAACAAGACAAAGGTTAAGTGATGCCAAGTAAAAGGAATGATGTTAGAAAGGGTTACAAGCAAATAAAAGTGAAAATGCATCTAAAAGTCTAAAACTTAATCTAGCAAAATACAGGCTTTGTTCAAGATGGTTTCTCACCTATATTCAGGTCCCAGACTTCAAACCTCCCTTGGTTGAAGGACCCACCTTTCTCAGCTTGCAAGAGCTCTTTTCCCTTGTGTCTGTCTAGTTATGGATGCCAAAGACATCTGTCTGTGCTTACATCTTCCAAAGTTCAGTGACTTTGTTTCAAGAGGCAGGATGACCGCCTGCTATTCTTCCCTTCCTGTGGGCTACCCATCCCTCGGGATGTAAATGGAACTTCCCTTGTTCTGAGTCCACCATGCTTATTTTGCATAGGTGACAGGTATATAGCTGCCTTTGCTGCTCCTGTCTGGGAGAGAACCCGTTTCTCCCTGTTCGGCCACAGATAGTAAAACATAATATCATTAAATATCCATATTTCCTCATATAGTAAGAATACATACACTTCAGAATTATATTAATCACGAGCGTGTCATTAGCTTTCAGAAAAGGCCTCACTCTACACACTTTTATAATACAGTAATATAGCATACAATCATTTGATTCAATTGCTTAGCACATGAGGTTCAGCCCTGGTATTTATAGTCCAGTAAACCTTTGCAATGTATTCTTCTGAAGGTTACCCCTCAAAGTAAAGATTATTCAAGCTGTGAGGAAGATTACATGGAGTCTGGTAGTGAAGGAAGCTCTATGCTCTTCCTTCCCCTACTTGTGGTTGCTGAAGTGCAAACGATTCTGTTTCTTGCCATCTCCTCCCTGTGCTGTCTTGATGTCCTGTTTACTGCTTATATGTAAATTGAGGTAAACATCTATTCCTTTGTTTATGATAAACATGTCTAACAGCTCCCCCAACACACTTGGTTTACACATACTTCAGTCATAATTCCAGCATATATTCGTAACTCTGACTACCCACCACGTACATACATCACAGAAGGATATTAATGATCAGTGAATTATGAGTTTTCAAATGATACCTCACAAGGCATATTCTGTAAACAAATTATTACAATAGTGTATAGGTGTGAATACAGGGGTGCTTAGTGTCACAAAAATATACTGGATTCTGTTGTTAACTAATTGTAGTTGGTTTGATGCTGGCTGCTTTTGTATTTGTAGTCCCCCATGACAACATGTGTCTTGAAAAGTTTTTCTCTCTCTTCCTCCTACTGTTTTAACCCCTACATGAATCACACACACATTCCTTTTGCTGAGACTCCCTTCTGAGCCTGTCAAGCAGCTCCTTAATTGTCCAGTGATATGATGCATTCCCTACTTTTGCCCACCCGAACAGCATTGCCTCCAGAGTATACTGGGTGGCACACAGTCCTGGAAGCAGAACCCTGAGACTGGAAATGAAACTCAGGACTCATGCACAGCCAGTCAGAGCTCATGAATGAACTGCAAACAAAGGCTTTCCTCCATGTGGAAAGCATTTACAAATATATACATTACTTTCTTAAATATAAAAAATATTAATATAATTCTCTCCACTAAATGTCATTATTTTTGGGACCCAAGCATTAGGGTACCTGAGAGTTAGGCAAAGATTTTCAGTAATGGGTGCCCAAAGTAAGGCTCCAATATCCATATTTTGGTATGGATGTGGCCTGATTTATGGGGAAAAAAATTTCTTCAATCTGCTTAAACTCCAACATTGTGCTCACAATGATTAGACACTTACAAAACCACAAGACATCGAGATATTACAGCATTCAGATCATGCCCAACTCCAACTTTTTTGCTGTCGCATTAGGACATTTTTGCTATAATAATACCACAGAGACCTAAATCAGACTAATTCTGCAGTATATAGGAGCATGCGGGCTTACATTTTATTAGGGAGAAATTCATGTATCCATGAAGTGTTAACCTTTCTTCTGAAGGATGAATACAATATACAGGATGGAACTGAATGTCACTGCTCTGACATTGTGGGAATGGAGCAGCCTACACTTTCCCAGCATCTGGACATGATAAAAAGATTCCCATAAAATGTTGATGATTCAAATTGGGAAAGGCCCACTAGATTATCCCATTTTCCTTCCAGTGCAGGCTTTTGGTGCGGTGAGGATTTTTCTTTCAAAATTTAATTAGTACAAGTCGTCCCTATTTTGCTCAGCACACTGTTCCAAAAGGTCATTTCTGATGACAGTTATGTCCCTACAGTTAAGTCATTATGCTTTGATAGGAAGACACATGATTAATGTAGGAGTTTTACTGCTCATAACTCCATTTCAGAGGTACCCACCCAGCATTTCTTAAACTCCCAGAGCCCAGTTGTCAGTTCTGGTTGAGCACTGGTTTGGTGCAGGGAATGCGTGCACGTATGGCGGGGAGGAGGGATCTCTTTCTCTCCAGCCCTCACCACCATGAGTTGATTCCTTGATCCACAGCCAACCCCATCCAACTGATCCTCTGCTCCCCTCATCTGCTCACCACATTGACCCTCCCTCTCAGGTTCCCCCAGCAAATTCATCTTCTACTTTCCTCCCTAACAGCAAACAGATCCCCTTCTCCACTCTCTAAAAATTCATCCTTGTTCCATTCCCAAAATTAATGCTGTGCCACCAACACTAGCAAATTGATCCTGTATCCCTGGCTCTCCCCAAGACAGAGAAGGAGAGGCAGTTTTCATCAGTTTTCATCTGCCTCCCCTAACTTGGCCGCCACTGCTCTATAAATTGGAGAAACATCCTGTGCTAAGCATTCTCCTCCCTCATTGGGTCCAAACAGAGTCAGCGGAGCTCCTTTCCTTGAGCACTGTCCAGCAAGGAAGCAGGTAGATAGCAACTAGAGCAGAGCAGCCAGACCTTCCCTTCCCGCCTTGCTCCTAATCCAGGTAATGGCAGGCAACCAGTGGAGTCACATATTGAGCAACTGCAGCAATGGAGAGAAAGAGCAGCTTTTCAACATGATCAACACTCATTCAGAACCAACTGCAGGGGAGGAGAAAGTGGCAACCCTTATTGCCTCCCTGATCAATGGGCCTGACACTTTAGATGGGGAAACTGAGGCACGGGGCAGTTAAGTGGCTTGCTCAGTCAAACAGCAAGTCAGCAGCAGGAATAACGTTTCAGAATCTGACTCCTGGTCCCTGGCTCTAGCTGCTGGACTCCAATCTTTTTCATCACTGGAAAGAAGTATAAACTAATGTATGTTCTCTCAGTGATGTTTCAGGACTGTACTGAGCAAAACGGGGGCTGTTTTCCTTCTCTTAAAGATGCCTGACCTAAGAGTTTGGTATTCATTTGTAATAGTCACAGCCTAGTCATGCCAAAATTGTATGATTCCTACAGGTCTCCTTGGTAAAGTAGCTCCCAAACAAACAGCTATTTACAGAACGGTGACGGCCTTTTCCTATAAAGTTATTGTATTTTAGAAACCCATGACCCAAAATTCAACATTTACTAAAAATTACAGTTATTTCTCTCTCATCATGCAACATATGTATGTACATGTACACACACACACCCAATACTAAAACCTCACAAAGCCCTATTAGCCCTTCAAAATGAGGGGTGAATCTGTTAAATATCATCTTATAGTCTGGGTGAACCACTTTAAGTAGGGCCCATTTACAGGGTGACCATATTTTCCCAAAGAGAAAAAGGGAAACCCCTGGGCCGGCCCATGCCACACCACCCCCCTCACGCAGGGCTCCCCGAGTCTACCCCGCTACCCACCCGCAAACCCCCCTTCCCAGTCCGAGCCCCTCTGCTGCCCGGCCGCAATCCTCCTGCTGCCCGCCTGCCCACAGGCAGGTCCAAGCCCGCCACACGCATGCCCACAGGACTGGTGGTCTAAGCCCCCCACCCCGCATATGGGGCAGGCCAGCCAGCTCGAGCCGCTCTCCCTAGCCCTCCCTCCAGCCCAGGGCTAGCATTGCCACTCCGCCCTCCCCCACTACGTTCCTCCGTACCCTACTAGGGGTCCCATGTGCATGGGAGGGTCGGCAGTGAGGTGAAATACTGCTCACAGCCTGCTCCCCACACCAGCAGAGCCCCTCCGCTCAGGGGATTAGGGATCCCACCACAGCTGAGCAGGGACCCCCATCCCCATAGGCTGTCCCAAGCATCTGGCAGAGAGCACAGTCGGTGTACGGAGAATGGGGAGCACACCCTGCCCTGGCTGTTCACCCATGCAAGGTGGGAGCTGCCGGCGGCGTTGCTTCCTGGGGTGGGAAGCGGGGGTGGCAGGGCAGTAGCGGGAACGGTGGAGACCGGGCTGCTCCCCTCCGGCCATGCTCTCGCTGCCCATCCCCAGCCCTGCTGCTGCCACTGGAGGAGGAGGGCAGGGAGACTCTGGTGTGGGCACGCGTTGGGGAGAGCAAAGGTGGGGGCACAGCCACTTGCTGCCCCCCACTGCAGCTCTGTGCTGGGATCCCAGAAAATACGGGACAATTGGCCCGTATTTAACAAAAAGTTGGCACACCTGGAAGAAGGCTTAAATACCGGATTGTCCCGTTAAAAATGGGGTGTCTGGTCACCCTATCCATTTTGGACAGCAACCTCAAACTATCCATTGTTTTGCATATTCAGGTTCTGTTCTTCATGGCCATAAGCTCTATATACACAGCTTCATTTCTACTGAAGATTAGCATGTGTTTTTCTTGGTATTCAGAGAACAACTCAATGTCACATCGAATAGAAGTTTAGTAAATCCCCTAACCTTAACTTACACACTCGTTGAGTAAAAGATAGGAACAAAGTTGCTGCAGTCAAGGGCCTTGTCTACACTAACACTTTTCCCACTGTTGATCTAGCACCAGTGCAGCTCCACCTTCTGAAACTAGGGCTGGACCACATGATGGTGAAGACACCTGTGTTCTGTCTACACTAGCATTCGCACCAGCAGAGCTGCTCAGCCACTAGTGGGAAAAGTACTTACAATTTTCAGTGCTGATTAAGCCACAGGGACCACTCACACAGAGAAGGTTTGCAGGACCAGACGCTAAATGAAGAAGTATTCTCCGTGACTAAGAAGATGGGAAGGAATTCTATCAATTTAATCAAACACACACAGAGTTTTCTTATAGAAGAGTGGTTGCAAATTGAGAACTGTTTTGTTTCATCACAAGGTCACTGTCTTACATCTGGACATCCTGAATTTGCAGTTATTTAAAGATGAGCGATTCATGGTCTGGTATCCCATATTTATCTTTGTGTTCTTCAAATAATTTACTTAGTTCTCGCAGGTATGTTTGATGCAGCTGCTCGATCTCTTCAAGAGTAGGATTCAAATTCTGTTTTACAGTGATAGGTTTCCCCACTGCAAACAACAAACAAAATAGCAATGACGTTAGCTACACTGACATCTATTTGCTGCAGATAAAAGTACTCTTCCATATTGGCCAGATGCTTAGTTTTGTTGCTTTACAGATGGTTGATGAAATCCTGGGTCCACTGAAGTCACCAGCAGAACTCCCTTTGACTTCAATGGGGCTAGAATTTCACTGAGCATTAAATCAGCAAGCAGGAAGTCTTGATTTAAGTTGATCTTAATCTTGTTTTGCACTTGTACTTTTTAGTTATTTTCCCAAGAAAAGTTGATTTTCAATGGTTGGAAACCATTGAAACATGCTGACCTGCAAATAAATAGAGCCTTTGCACTAAATTTGATGCTTCTTTTTGCTAACCAGGAAGTTACACATTTATTTATATAGCTTAACTTACAATTGTTCAGATCCTTAACTTTTAATTTTTTATTGTTAGAAAATGATGAATGATTCATTTCTCATTTACTAAATGGATAACTTTTTACTTGTGATTTGAGCTCTATTTGGATGGAAATTCAAATTCAATTAAAAATGCACAAAACCATCATTTTAAAGTTAGTTTTATTCCATAAATAAAAATCATCAAATGAACTGGATACATAAGAAAAAAGTTAATCTAAACATATTTTGCATTTAAAACTAATTAAACAGAGGAATTATTATCTGTAGTTAGTGAATTGAACTGATTGTTTTGGGTCACTGTATCCTTCAGGATTTTAGAACTAGTAGATTTCATCATCTCACACCTTGTTTTTATTCATACACTGGAAGAGAAAAACAAGTTTACTGTTTTTTCAATTCCCAATTGATTTTTTAACTTTGAATGAACTAGTCATTGCACTAAACAAGTAGGGTATAGTCTTCATTTCAGTTTATTTTCTCTATATCTGCAGAAAAGGATACTGCTGTCCTAAGCTAGTTTAGCACTTCAACAAATTCTGGTTCCAGGTGATTAGCCAGTGATTTCCACCAGCACAACGGTCTGATTTTCTTTCACACCTGGCAGCAAACATACTGCTTTTTTTCTTTCTTTCTTTTTTTTTCTTTTTCTTTTCCTTTTTTTAAAATTTAAATGAATAGATAACAGTAAGTTTTGGCCTCAACATAGGTTGTCATAACTACAAGTTTAATTTTAAATAGGTTTATTTTTAAAGAACATAAACCTCAGTTTCATTTAAATAAAAAGTCCAGGTTTTTGAATGAATCGATTTCCCCACCACCCCACCCCAGACTATATGGGCAGACAGAACAGGACACAGGGAAATACAGACTGACTAGCGTGTTGGAATGAAGACGGAATTCCATTGTACTAGAAAATGGCTTTACCTGATAAATATCTAGGTTTTCAACCTTTGGCTTTGGGTAGCTTGCAGCATGACCTTGATTAAAGGGTGGGATTTTTCAAAAGCATTCAGCATTGGCCTAACTCCATTGAAGTTCATAGCAGTTCAACACTGTCTTTGATGAGAGAAGAATTGGGCCAATTTTGAAAAAAATGCCCCCAAATTTGATCTGTCAGCACCTTATATATATATATATGTTTCAATTAAACATTTAATGATCTGTCCATTAAAAACTCTTTTTAAAAGAAAAAGACCCATTCTATGGAGCTACAAATCCTGCATGCCACGTGCATCCTGCAGATGTGGAAGAACCTGAAGGGTGCAGAACAGAGATTACAGGAGCTGGAGGAGGCACATACCCTGACCTGGAGCTGTGCTGTGTGCTGACTTCTGTGTTTTACTGTGGGTGGTGTGGGGACCTGTGGATCTAGCTGCCAAACTTGCCCAGAGAGAGGGATGAGGGGCTAAATATCTTCTGTTGAAACTGCAAGGCTATGGAGATGCTCCACTGCTCTTCAATGGATTGGAACATCTCCCTGACTTCCTTAGGAATTCTTGAGCACTCAGCCGTCTCAGGTGGGCTGCATGCTGAGGAAAGGATTTGGGCAGGGATTAAAGTGCAGGGGAGTGCAAACAGCAGAGGGATGCTCCCCTTCCCCTCTTTGGCTTGTGTAAACAGTGCTCCCCTACACCCCACCCCATGGTTGATGCAGTCAAAGCTCCTCCTCCTGTTTCAATCTACTGTAATCACTTATTACAGTGTGGCCCAGTTGGCATAAATTATTTATAAAGCCTTTTGCCTTTATCTCCTCCCCACTGCCATCAGAACAGGATAAAGACATTAGGAAAGACAAACATTTATTTCAAACCTCATGTGCTTGAGTTAGATGCACAGCAGCCAATTCTTTCTGGCAGACCAGATTTGTAAAGGAACACCGTTACTGGATTTAACCACAAATCACACATTTTAAACATTCCCATAAGAATGACAGAAACCACTAAGGAACTTACCAACAGTGTGAATAGATTTCCTGTAAGGCATCAAGCCAAAACTGTATTGAAATATTCCTCTAGCATGAAATAGTGGTAAAGTAAACCCCACTGCCTTCCTCAGTCTCTCCTGTAAAGTTCTGAGCCACGATCCTTCAGGGTTTGCAACTTGCTTAAACAGTTCATTTTCACCAAAAGAAAATATTGGAACCAAGTGAGCCCTGTAAAGTAAACAGAATTAATAATCACAGGGCGCTCAATGAAGCATGACTTGCAACTCACATCTACAGCATGATGAGTCAGATTAATAATGCAGGTAATTTCCTCAATGCTTATAAAATTCATCAGTATTTGCATTATGCATTCAACTCTTCACTGAAATGCAGCTGAAATGCTTCTTTGTGCAGCTGGAAGGGGGCGCAATATTTAGCAAAACCAACAAACATAGCCACCTACCGCCTCCTGCACAGCGTTCAAACCGCAGCAAACCTAAGTGAAGGTTTCCATTAAAGACAGAGGAATCCCTTTTTTCGGATTTTATGGCAACTGCTAAAATCTTATTCGTGACAAACAGCTGTTGGATTTGGGCCATCACAGGGTCACCGAGTTTGCTGTAGTTTCATAGCACCTTCTCTATCCTTATAGGCGACATTCAATGGGGGTTGGGTGTCTAACTCTATGTAGTGCCTGGGAAAATCCCAGTGTCGATCTTTTAACATTAGAGGCTGAATCCTGTTTGCAGGAGTTGCTCTAGTAGTCTGTTTCAGTTTTGAACTCAGCCTCTCCACCCTCTCAGCGGGAATCTGTGGCTTGAAAGGGGTTATATAGCACCTGCAAAACCTCTCCAAATTCCACCCCATCCGAAGCATCGGAACTGCAATGGTTCTGCTGTTGTCAGGGTGAAAGGGGAAACCTTTATTGAAAGCCCCGGCTACTACAGCTGAGCTGTCAGTCTGGTAAACGTATGTGGCTGTTAGAAAGCGTGTGGAACCAACACAATACTATTGTATAAAATTAAAATAAAGAGTAATCTTAAGTGATCTCTCCAGAAGCTTAACAGCTCTCAGTTTTTTTGCACTAAAATCCTAGGCAATCAATATGTTTCGTAAGCATTTTCATCTTACACCATGTTTGACAATCTCTCTCTATGGTGAATGGCTGTTAAAATGGCAGTCTTGCAGCAAGATTACTCAAGGTGAAGATTTTAGAACTTGGAATGCATCAGTTGGGTATGCTAATAAGAGTAATGAAAATGAATCCTCCTGAATCAAGGATGCAGCTGTCTGGTATGTACAATGGATAGTCATGAGTTGTTTGCGTGGAACTAAGATAACTATTTATGTGGCTTCTTAGACTCTGGGATTCATAAGAAATACCCTTCCCTACCCCACACCCCTTGCCCCTCGAATGGTGTCTGCCTGGCCTAAAATTTTGAGGCGGCTTTCTCAGCAATGACAGTACTGCATCATACAGCTGCCACTGAAAGAAACATCTGAAGACTCTGTAAGCAGAGTGGATTTATAGGCTGCCAAGTTTTTGCTAGACCACTAAAGATGATGAACAGGAAAACCTTGTGGTGCAAAGGCATTTCTCTACATGCCTGTGAATGTACTAGCTTTTGTTTTCATCTGAAAGACTTCCTACAGAGGGTTGATACACTGAAATAAGTAACATGGAGTTTTGGTTGTGAAACTCAGGAGAAACTAGTTTATTCTCTACTTGTGCTGTGTAATTATGATTTTTCTGTTTTGTATTCATCGTTTGTATGACCTTGAATCAACTGTCCTTGCCAGTAGTCCCATTGGAGAGAATGGAACTACTGAAATGCTTAAGGGACTTGATCCATCTCCCACTGAAATAAATGGAAAGACTCCCTTTGATCTCTACAGCAGTTGAACAAGGGGAGCAGGATTTGGCTCCTTACCTGAAGTTCTGCGTGTCAGTTAAATAGTAGCAACTCGCCATTGTGAATGACCTTGGACAACTCACCATTGTGAATAAGAACACAAAGCCACACTGTATCACACAGAGCTGCGCTTGTTTTAAATGGGAGCTTCATATAGGAGTAGGACAGGCGTTCTCAAACTTTATTGCACCGTGACCCCCTTCTGACAACAAAAATTACTACATGACCCTGGCAGAGGGGACTGAAGACTGAGCCCGCCCGAACTCTGCCACCCTCGGGAGGGGGGGGGGGGGGAGGTCAAAGCCTGAGCCCCACTACCCCAGGCAGGGGAGACCAAAGACAAAGCCCATGTGCTTCAGCCCCAGGCAGGGTCCCATAACCTGAGTCCTGACACCCAGGGCCGAAGCCCTGGGGCTTCAGCTTGGGCTGCAGGTGAGGAGGCTTGGGCTTCAGTTTCAGCCCTGAGCCCCAGCAAGTCTAAGCCAACCCTGGCAACCCCATTAAAATGGGGTCGAGACCCACTTTGGGTTCCTGACCCACAGTTTGAGAACCACTGGAGTAGGAGGATAGACCTTGGTCTCTATTTTTGATGATTTCTTCTGCTTAAACAAGTTATTAATATTACTACTATACAGACTTATGAAGGAGGCCTGAAATGCATCTGTATGCTTGGTTTTTACCTCCCCCACTTTGTGGGTCATCTTTAAAGGAAAAAGATGCCCTTTTTTCCCCAGAATTATGGCTCTGTTTCTCCAAAGCACTTAAGTGTGTGCTTAAATCCATCCCGATTCATCAACACACTTAAGCACACAATTCTGCGCTTTGCTGAATCCGGACCTAAGGGTTATCACAATCAAGTCAAAGAGAAAAAATACTCTTTAAAATCAGTAGTGTTCAGAAGTACAGGAACAGTAGAGTCAGCAGAACTGCTATGGGACAGCCAGTAAATAGTGTGGCTGAGTGACTCAGCAACACAGCCTGAGGAACTACAAAATGTTACTACATAGAGCGTCACAGTTTGTTTGCTGCTGTGGTTTAAAACAAGTCAGTCAAATCATTAGGATGTCCCAAAACCGCCACTGACCGTTGGATTATTTCTGGAAATGATAAGAAAAGGGATTTCACAACTGCCCCTGTATTATTTCTCTATTCTGTTTTAATCAAAGTACATCAGTTCTGGCTCTTATTTTAGACATCTGCATCCCAGGTCAATGCACAAATAACATGGTCAGATTCACAGTTTCTATGCTGTATTAACACTGCAAGAAGTGCAGTCACAGCCAACAGTGCTAATGGGACACCCACCCATTTTTCAAAGCCATTTTAATAAAACCTCTCCTCTTGAGGATATTCAGGGTTAAACTTCCGGGATAGGCATCCAAAGACTCTTCTGCTCCTCCAATCACAATCACTGCAATGTTTCCACCTCTGTCATTGTTCAGCACATGGGACAAACTCTTCTTGGAGGCTGACACCAGTCCTTAAGGATCAAACGTTTGTAACAGGGGATCAGTAAACCATTTGTATAACACCAAGAGAAGCTAGACATAGTTTTAAAATATTTTGAATGGCTAAGGCCCAGGATGGAGTCAAGAGACATGGGAATTGATCCTGGTTCTGTAACAAATTTGTATTTGACAAAGTTTTCTGTGCCTCTTTCCCCTTCATGCTAAATTCTGTTTTCCTGCCACGCTGGAACATTGTGAGATCTTCAGAGAGGAGGGGTCCACACAATGTAAATACAAATTCTTAATAATCAGGCATTTCTCATCTCAATGATTCTAATAATGCATTTCCTTCTCAGAAATGCGAGACTACAGAATCATGTGGAGAGAGTCAACAAGCTGAAGCTAACGCCATGGCAGGTGGAGGGGTTAATTGAAAAGCAGGCGCATATAAACAATAAAAGAGAATTTGGGAGTTTGAGCAGGGTGGATATAGGATGTTGCAATCTAAACTAGGACCCATAGTGCCAGAACTGAAGTCAATGGAATGACAGTGTAATAAGGAGCAGAATCAGCTCACTTAAACTACTTCATTAGCTTTTCCTTGAGGCACCCTGGCCATGCCACCTCCCAAGCCTGTGCTGCCCATCCCATTACTTGGGCTGCACTTCCCATTATGTGGGCTTCACTAATTCTCTATATAACCCATCTCGGGCAAAAGGAGGCCTTCCCTTCTTCTCTGCTGACACAACCAACCCCTCTTCCATGGCTGACTTTCTGCTGCATGGGACCTTCACATCAGCTGAAGCCATGACAGACTTGGACTGAATCTGGCCCTTTGAAGACTGAGAATTACAGAAATTAGAAAGGTTTCAGAGTAACAGCCGTGTTAGTCTGTATTCGCAAAAAAGAAAAGGAGTACTTGTGGCACCTTAGAGACTAACCAATTTATTTGAGCATGAGCTTTCGTGAGCTACAGCTCACTTCATCGGATGCATACCGTGGAAACTGCATCGATATATACACACAGAGAATATGAAACAATACCTCCTCCCACCCCACTGTCCTGCTGGTAATAGCTTATCTTGATGATCACTTTAGATAAGCTATTACCAGCAGGACAGTGGGGTGGGAGGAGGTATTGTTTCATATTCTCTGTGTGTATATATCGATGCAGTTTCCACGGTATGCATCCGATGAAGTGAGCTGTAGCTCACGAAAGCTCATGCTCAAATAAATTGGTTAGTCTCTAAGGTGCCACAAGTACTCCTTTTCTTTTTGAGAAATTAGAAAGGAAAACATACCTTTGCCTAACCTAACCTAATCTCCCGCAGGATTCTTCCCCACAGCATATTTACTAGCGCTTTGTGCAACCACGCTATCTTAGAGTAATATTTTTTAAAGAACAGTCTAGGGATCAAATCCAGCCTGTGCTTCTTTAAACTGGCACTGAATGCCTTTTCTTTTGGATTCAAATAAACAAATGGCCCCAACTTGAGCTGCTGTTTCCCATCTTTTCTGCTATTAGGGAAGTTATAATGTGAGAAAAGTAATGCAATTGTGTTGCTACATACTAAGAGAAATATCTTGCTAACAGACACTGAATTAAGTTTAACTAATGTTCCAGGGAGACTTGTAAATATGACCAGGAATAAGTTAACTGACTAAATGTGCTTCAAATGCTGATAGGAGAGCTCAATGTACAGATTTTTCCATATTCCAGCTGTGTCCTCACAGAGTACACAGCTGTTATTACATTGTTTGAAATGGGGGAAATTCTATGGCCTGTATTATACAGGGGATCAGATGAGATGGTCATAATGGTCCCCTGTGGCTCTAAGACCTGTGTGTCTATAAAAATCACTCAGACTATTCTACAACACTGACAATTTTGGGGCATGTCAAAATTACTTCTCATCGAGAAAGTAAAAGGATTGTTCCTATGGGTCAGAGTGGCAAAGCCGTGTGGAAACATTTCTGTACTGAGCTATATTTAGATTATGAATAACATTCTGTCAGGTCAGATATGCTCAGTTTCCATTACCACCAATTCCTGACCTGTGCAAGTTTAACAAAAATCCACTGAAATATTATATCTTGGTGGAAGGTGATTCCTTTGCAATGTCATATGATTATAATTGGAAGTACATTCAGATTATGTTGTACTACATATTAGCCGTTTCTCTTCTCTCATACAATAATTAGTTCATTTCATCTGCAGATCTCAGCAAAAAAGCCTACAGATATTCTGATTTTAGCAATGGGTGAACGGAAGTACAGCAAGGTTGAACCACCAGCCTTAAGACACACACACTGAGTTAATGTCAGAGCCAGGAATAGAACCTAAGTCTCCTGGCTACACAGCATTCTTCCCACTATGCCATTTTGCCTTCTTGCTATAACTTCATGAACTTAAATAAAATAACTCATGATTTACACCGTAGCGAGAGGAGAAGCAGGCTCATGCTTCCTTCCATTCCTCCCGCTTTTACTATTATTTACTATTTGTATTGTGGTAACACCTAGGAGCTCTAGTCATGGACCAAGACCCCATTGTGCTAAGTGCTGGGCAGACATGGAACAACAACAACAACAAAAAGGATAGTTCCTTCCCCCAAAGAGCTTGGGGTTTATGGTGTAACTACACGTAAAACAAAAGTGTAAGTGAAGTCCTTCAGACCCCGGTAAGTAATCAAGTCCTTCACTGGAATGATGTTTGTACTGAGTAGGACTAGAATGTTCTTGGGACAGGAACTATCTCCAAGCTCGTTCTTCAACACCACAGAACATAGTATCATTGTTTAATAAACAATACTGTACTTAACTCCACCTGCCCTATTCTTCCCATGTAACCAGTACTTAGGACAGGAGTAAAACAGCTCATGGGTAGGCATGGGAAAATAATAGAGAAAGCTCAGTAATTGTCAGAGAGGAAGGATGGTCCAGTAGTTAACACCTAGCCTAGCACTTGGGCTCAAGTACTTGCTCCATCAGAGACTTCCTCGGGCAAGTCACTTTAGCCCTCTCATGCCTCAGTTCCCCATCTGTAAAATGGGGATAACAACACTGCCCTACCTCACAGAAGGATTTTGAGGAGAAATACTAGAGCTGACTGGAAAAATTCTGATGAAAAGGTATTTTTTGTCAGAATTTGCCAATTCATCGAGATCAAAACATTTTGCGGAGACAGTTTGATTTTGATGAAGTTCCTCTGGAAACCAGGCAGAGTTCTGACAGAAATCTGTCTGCATTCTGCCAACCCATCTCCTCAGTAGTCAGTGTGGCAGGCTGCAGGAGAACCCACATTTCCAGAGTCCAGTGCTCTGGGTCAGCCTGCCCTGGAGCTGGGGCTCCATCCCTTATTGAGGAAAGTTTTGAAATTTTTGGTTTCCATTCTGAATTGGAACAAACCCAAATTTAGAAATAGCAAAATCTGAGTGAGGCAGGTTATCTTTCCTTAATAAATACAGCTCTGATAAATATATCAAAGGCTGTGAGGTACTCAGATATTGTAATAATAGGGAGGCCATACAAGTACCTAACATAGCTAGTTTCTCCTTCAACTCAAAAATTGATCCCACCATAAATAAAAGCTTTACGCTCCCATCCTGCAATCTGATCCTTGTAGATGAACCTCTGTGACCAGGCAGAGCTCCATTGATTGCATTGAGAGCTCAGATACTAGGGGAAGCTGCAGAAGGCTATCTGGCTCCCAGGGGTGAAAGTAAGTCTAGGGACCTACCGGTACTGGGCTGGGCTGGGGCCACCTCTGGCCCCCCAAAGGGGTGGAGCCTTGGGTGGAAGGGGCGGGGTGCGGGGGGTCAGAGCCAGCTCCGGCCCACCCTGTACCGGTAAGTGCCTCCTTCCCCCTACCCTCCCTTCCCCCCACCGGGGTAACAGTGGCAGCCGGGGGCTCTGGCAGCAGTTTAAAGGGCCCGGGGCGGTAGCGGCGGCCAGAACCCTGGGCCCTTTAAATCGTCCCCAGAGCCTGCTGGAGCCCTGGGGAAGCGGCGGTGGGGCTCCGGGGACGATTTAAAGGGCCCAGGGCTCGGCTGCCGCTACTGCCCTGGGCCCTATAAATCGCTGCCCCAGCCCCGCCGCTGCTACCCCAGGGCTCTGGCAGCAATTTAAAGGGCCGGGGTCTCCAGCCGCTGCTGGAAGCTGCAGGCCCTTTAAATTGCGCCTGGGGAAGCCGATCCACCCCAGTACAGCGCACCGGGGCGTACCGGCTTACTTTCACCTCTGCTGGCTCCTCTAGTAGACCCTGAGGAAGAGTATCTCCCAGGTAGATGGCCTGGAGGAGGGAGACAGGCTGCTACAGTAGGCCCTGAAACAGAAAGGAGAGAGAGGCAAAGGAGAAAAGCCCTTGGAATCTATAGCCCAGGGTGGGCTGAGGAACAGCTCTTGTGTTTGATGTCTGCCTAAATTGTACGTTTGGAGAATAAAACTGTGTCTGGAAAAAGACTCTAGGTGTGGTAGTGAGTTCTTCCTGTGCAGGTGAGATAGACCTACAGGCCTTACTTATCAATATATGTGGGAGGTGCCCAATCCTGCTACACTTACTTACGCATGCAGTTATATTGACCACAATGGGGATTACTTTGCATGAGCAAAGATGACTCAGTTTAGTAAGGGTCTGGATAAGTCAACTGAACCTTGTGTAAGCCAGTGCAACTCATTAAAGTAAATGGACTTGCAACCACTTGCAACAGATCTGAATGTGCAGCTGTAGGCAACTGGTTAATTCTTTTGTTGTGAGTGTCCTGCTCCTACATAATGTGAAATATTATGGTATTCATATATTATGATTTTATTTTGGAATACCAGCATCTACTACCATTATATTTTGAATGACATTTTGCATCTAAGTTTGTCTTTTTATTTACAGCCAATGCAAAAATACTAAATAAAAATCAAAAACACTTGAAAATAATTACTATTATCCATCATGACCAGTGCATACACAACCTGTAATGACTTATCAGCTTTCACTAAAATTATGTTTTAAAAAATTAAAGATCATTGCTCAATCAAAAAGTCTTCTAGCTTAGATTCCTCATATAGTATAGTCACCCGTTCACCAAACAATCTCACTGCATGACAGATTTGCTATGGGCCTGATTCTGCTCCCTTGGCAAAGCTCTCATTGACTTCAGTGGTACAGAATTGGGCTGCGTAACTGCAATTACAATTCCCACATTATTATGTATTAAAATCATTCAGAAATTTCATTACAAGTCGCTTTCAATGATGATTCACTGTATCAGAGTTCATTAAAAGTACAACAAAGCATACTGAATTGCTTTTGAAACAATCGTTCACTGTAAACAGATTTTCTACAGGGCCAGTCCTGGTTCTATTGAAGTTAAATGGCAGAACTTTTCATAGACTTCAATAGATACAGGATAAGACCCTATATCTGAGATCACTTTATACAACTCATTTTAAACAAATGCCGTATCTGAAGCAGTGGCTAAGAAATCTTGGCTCCACCTACCAGTACTCAAAACGTAATCTCTGAAGAAAGGGCATCCGAACCAGACGGGCAAGATGTGAAGATATGGAGTAAAACCAGGGAATAATTCTTTAAAACCTGTATATTCTGTGCAAAAGTTTCCAAAGGCTCCAGCAGCAAGAATACCATGAGGGTGATATCCGAACAGATAGTTATGGCTTGGATCCAAATCTGACGTTTTTATGAGCTGCAAATAATATAAATGGAGTCTGAGTTTAAAACCATTTTCATCACACTGGTTCATAAACACAGGAAGGATTTTAAGAGTAGGGAGGCTGCACATAGTAGATCACTGATACTTTTTTTCCCTGTTATGAGCATCTTAGGTGATCCTAAGCAAAGTAAATATAAAGAGCTTAGTTCTGTCTCAGATTAATAGTTCTGTAATCTCTACAATATTTGAGCTTCTATCTTGTGGCTAGAAAGGTTCAGCTTAAAAGAACCAGTCCCCAGCTACTCTTCCTGTCACTAACCCCAGATTTTCTTCATCTAAGCTCGTGTTACAGAAGAGAGGTCAATTTCACGGCCCAAAACGTTCATGATAAAAAGCCATCTTGAGCTGCATTTTCACAATTTAGTGTGAAACTTTTTACTCACATGAATTGGAAAGTAATCCGTAAAGTACTTCCAAATAGTCCAGTTTCTGACCCACTTTGATCTTCTCCCTCCAGTTTGGGGGGTCTCCCAATCAAGATAGAGCCACAGTGCATAGAGGACAGGTATGAACCAGTAGTTTCCCAAAAGCAAGATGATAAAGACTCCCCAGCAACACTGTGCTACAAGAAACAAAAAGAAAACTACAGTGATTATTCATTACTATCTCACGATAGGAAAGAGTCCTTGGACCCAGTTTTGTTTTCATTTACACCTGTGTAAAACCAGAGGAACTCCATAGCAGTTACTCTGGCTATCCACCAGTATCAAACTGAAGTTGGCCTATTGTCTATTATTTGAATCTCTATCAGTGAAGAGAGATGCTGCCTGACAAAGAAGGTACATATTCACTTGGGTTTATTTTTACCCCAGCATGTGTGTGAGGGATGGATCTTGTAAGGTGCTGAACCCCTTCATCTCTAATAGGACTAAACAGGAGCTTGGGGAAAAGGTCTGAGTAGTCCAGCACTCGGCAGGGTGCCAGCAGCAATTCAGGTCAAAGGAGTCTTATTCACTTAAGGGTAGGGGGAAGGAGAGAGCAAGAATGAGCAACGACTTCACATATTCTGGTGGGTGAGGAGATGGAGCAGGGCTGACCGAGAGGGAGGCAGCATGATGGGGAGGGAGTGGATATACATTCCACACGTATTTTATCAGCCATTTAAACAAAACAGAATCTAACGCATATCTAATTAGATTGCTTATTAACTCTTTACAGGAGTGCTGACCTGCATTCCTGCTCTGGTCCCGGGCAGAGCAACACACAGACAGAGAGAAGCCTTTGTTTCCCCCCCTTCCCCCGCTCCAGCTTTGAAAGTACCTTGTCTCCTCATTGGTCATTTTGGTCAGGTGCCAGCGAGTTTATCTTAGCTTCTTAACCCTTTGCAGGTGAGAGGGTTTTTCCTCTGGCCAGGAGGGATTTAAAGGTGTTTACCCTTCCCTTTATATTTATGACAGCGTCTTTACTAACTGTGCTAATAAAATTGCTTAAAGTTTGGCTTTGTCTTCAGTGATGACATCATTGTGCACTTTGGGGTTCCCAACCAGATACTGAACTTAACCTGAATTCTGTTGTGCGTGATTCTAGGACTAGAACCCTGCAATACCCAGTTCTTTAGACTTGTAATTAACTGGAAACCAGTGATAATCAATAACCACTAGAGAACTGGGCAACACCCTGGCATGCCAAACAAGTCTGATATCCCAGATCTCCCCCTTACATGGTGGTCTGGCCTATTATAGGGCCTAGTGGTTATCAGGACTATTCATACAAATGCCACCCCTTTGTCCATATCTAACTTCCTCACCCTAATAATGTTGGGGTGTCTTTATCCTACAGGTTAGTATGTTAATAATTTTAACTTACATACATCAATTCAGCCCCAAGGCAAGTTCATTGTTAAGCATCTGCCAGTATTTCTATCCTAAAATATCTGTCAAGGCTAATTCCCCACTCTGGCACTTTGAGTGCTGAAGGTGGGGGCCCGCAAGGATCTAAAAAATTAATACTGTCCACTCCAGGCTTGTGTTAAACTCCCAAGGTTACAGCTTTTCTCTGAACTTGGATGGGTAGATGCTGCTACCACCCAAGTGCAAAAACCCCATTTTGAGAACCCAGAAAGGTGCACTTGGGAATTCCTTCCTGTGGGGTACTCTCAAGCCCTCCCCCCCCCCCAGGGAAGAGCTGAGAAAGGAAAACAAAGGAAATCAGCTGTTGCCACCAGCTAATTAAACAACATGGGGATTTGGGCACCAACACAATCGGGCTTGACCACTGACTGTGGGACTCTTCGATGACTCCCAGCTCCAACATCCTTTTTACTCCCTTTTTGCCGCTGGGACCCGATAGGGCCTTAAAGTTACCTTTGCCTCAGGGTCTGTAATAATGTGGTGATATGATTCGGTGGTCCGACCTGGTTTGGTTGAAAACACGTCCTGGTATTGGTTGATCATCTCAGTTACCGCCTTCTTCTGGTTTGGTGTCAGATCAGTGGATATCCTGATCTGCTCCTGCATGTTATTTCCCTGGATCAGGGTCTCTTGGGCCACTACACATGCCTCTCGTTGGTGCCAAGGCTTTAAGAGGTTAATGTGATAAATTTGTTCTTGTTTCCGGCGTCCTGGCTGCCGCACCTTGTAGGTTACTTCCCCCTGGTTCAACCACCTCATAGGGCCCCTGCCATGGGGCCCAACGCTTGCTTTCTGCCATGGGTACCAACACCATCACCCAATCCCCTGGTTGGAACTGTCAGACTTTTGCCTGGCGATTGTAATGGGTTCGCTGGGCCTCCTATGCCTTTTGCAAATGTTCCCATACAATAGGGGTGACCCGGACTATCCGTTCTTGCATCTGCAACACATGGTCAATTATATTTCTCCCTTCATTGGGTTCCTCTTCCCAGATTTCTTTTGCAACATCTTGTATGCCATGGAGGTGCCGTCTATATAATAACTCAAAGGGGGAAAACCCAGTTGAGGCCTGAGGTACCTCCCGGATTGCGAACATAAGGTAGCGTAGTAGAATGTCCCAATCCTTCCCGTCCAGACTTACCACTTTCCTTATCATTGCTTTGAGGGTTCGGTTAAACCTACCAACCCATTGGTCTGCGGACGATAGACTGAAGTTCTCAGGGTATGGATATGGAGCAGCGTACAGAGGTTCTTCGTTAGTTTTGACATAAATTGGTCTGTTAATATCTCCTTTGGTAGCCCCACTCGGGCAAAAATCCCCACCAACTCTTTAGCTATTGTTTTAGAGGCCGTGTTCCGCAGGGGGACAGCTTCTGGGTAGCGAGTAGCATAATCCAGAACGACAAGTATATATCGGTGGCCCCGGGCTGTCTTCTCCAGGGGTCCCACTAGGTCCGTGGCTATTCACTTGAAGGGGACCTCTGTGATGGGAAGGGGTACTAAAGGTGCCCTCAAGCAGGGATGGGGACTGCACAGCTGGCACTCTGGGCAGGACGCACAGTACCTCCACACTTCTTCATGTACTCCGGGCCGGAAGAATCATTGCAGGAACCATGCCAGGGTCTTCTCTAGCCCCAAATGCCCCCCAAAAAGATGACTATGGGCAAGACCTAATACAGCATTCTGGTGTTTTTGAGGTACTAGGATCTGCTGTACGTTCTGCCCCTGTACTGGTGCAACCCGGTATAAGAGATTCTTCTTCATTATGAAGTAGGGTCCTGGTCCCTGGGTTTTCCCTTCCATGGGGACCCCCATCTATTTCAGTCACCTCCTTCCTAATGTTGTCGTACCTTGGGTCTTCAGCCTGGTCCCGTACAAAATTTCCTCTCCCAGGGCTAATCTGCCCGAGATCTAGGAGGCCAGACTCTGTTGCCTCTACTGGTTCAGAGGCATTAGGGTGTGGGTCAGACTCAGGTGCTTCTCCCTCCTGGGTGGCCTCCTTTTCAGCTGCTCAGGTCCGCCTACCTACGAGAGCGACCCTCTGGCTTTGGATCAGTATTCGGGTTCCCAAGACCTTAGCTGCCCTCCTTTCCCTTTTTGACTTTCTACCTTGTCTGGGAGTGGAGAACAAATCTGGGGATATTTCAGAGAAGATTGGGGGTTGACAGTCTACTGTGGATGCCTCACTGACTTCAGGGTTTCCCCCTTTCTCCAATTCCCCTACCAGGAGTAAGTCTCCAAACCCTGGGAAGTTCCTCCCTATGAGCACTGGGTATGGGAGTTTAGGGACTACACCTGCTGCTACCTCAGTAGTGTTCCCCTGAATCTTGATTTTTACTGGGATGGTGGGGTAATAACCAACTGTCCCATGGGCACGTTATCCCCGTACGCTTAGCCAACAGCAGCTGACTACGCTTCACGAGCTTCCCCGAGACAAGCGTGATAGCACTTCCCAAATCAACCAGTGCCATGGTCTCTACCCCATTTAGCTTCACTGGTCTGGTGTACATATGTGGGGTTAGTGAGACCCCTACAATGTGGATTACTGAGCATGGCTCTGCCCAGTTCCCCAGGTTACACTGCATAGGCTCCTCAGCGTTGGGATACTGTGCAGCTATGTGTCCCCACTCCCTGCAGGTGTAACATCTGTATGGAGCCGCAGGCGTTCCCCGGTCTCTTGGTTTGGGCAGTCTAACATCACGATCCTCTACCCCCTCAGTGCTCCGACTCTTTGTGGCTTCTGGTGGACCTTCAGTCCCTCTTTTTCTACCTGGGCTCTCCTGGTGGCCCAGTCACCCGAGCTCTGGGGCTTGGTGCTGCTAGTTTAACCCCGGGTGCTTCTTCCTTAACTGATCGGGTCAGCTCCCTCACCGTCCTTCACCTCTCTACTCGTGCGACAACCTCATTGTAGGTGGAGGATTCGTTCTGGCTTACCCAAGCGTGAAGGTCTGGCGGTAGTCCTCTCATGTACCGGTCGATGACAAAATCCTTCTAGTATCTCCTCCGGACTCCGGGACTCAGTTTGCAACCACTTTCGTGTGAGATGGATGAGGTCAAACAATTGGGACCGCGGTGTTCTGTTTTCCTGGTACCTCCACTCATGATACCACTGGGCCCGCACTGCGGTCGTTACCCCAGATCTGGCCAGGATCTCTGCTTTCAGCTGGGGGTAGTCTACTGCAGCTTCTTCAGGCAGATCATAGTAGGCCTTCTGGGCCTCCCCACACAGGAATGGGGCGAGGATGCCCCATGATCTCAAGGCCAGGCCTCCCATAGGGCTATCCTCTCAAAGGCCAGGAGATATGCCTCTATGTCATTCTCCCCCATCATTTTCTGCATTGCTGGCCTGTATGATCCGCGTCCCATCATGGCCGTGGTTCATCTCTGTAAGGGCCTTCACTTGATTTACCAGTTCCCACAACATAGCATGGTCTTGAGCAGCCTGGTCCATCAGCAGGCGATTGGCCTCCTGCTGCAGCCGCACTACCTCCTGTTGGGTGGCTGCCTGGACACAGGTAGCCTCCTACTGGGCAGCCGTGGCTTGTATCAGTGGCCACACTACCTCTTCCATTGTGGTGAAAAAAAAAAAACAGAACAAAAAAACCCTCTCTTTTTTTTTTTTTTTTTTAAAATACCACCACCCTCCTTCTTCCGCCACGCTGTGCACACCAAATCCCACTGCTGACAACAGTTGTGACAAAGTTCCTTCTCT